GTTGAAAACCCGGAAAGGGCGGTTTGGATATTAACGGTGGAAGCATCCCGGCACATGAATCTTCTACGAACTCAACAAATCGGAGAAATGTTGCACCCTCCCAAACGTTGTCGCATTTTCAAAGATCCTTGGGCAAAGGCCGCATTCAAAGTCACCAAACGGCTTTTCAGCTCAGAAGTGCCCACGTTATCGAAATCTAAGACATTCATTTACACATCATTGTGTATTCGTCTTCTAGAATGTTTGCCATGTATTATTTGTTCTTCTCCTCCCTTATGAATAAAGACCATCTTTCCTCCAATTCCTTTCGAGCATCTTGAATTAGATTTAAACCTTATGGTTTATTTATTTTTTATGAAAGATAATCGCATATTACTGTACAAATATTCATGGAAAAGTACAGGTACCCAGAAGCCGATCAAGGCTCATGCACATGCTTGAGATGGTTGAGAAGCATCTCTAAAAAAAAAAAAAAAAAAAAAAAAAACCCAGAATGTGCACATCAGATTCAGACATTTGAAGAATTCAAGATCAGAGATCGGAACTTCTTTCAAAATCAAGAGTCGACAACGAAAGGCCACCGGAAATCAAGATTTCTCTCCAGAGCCCAGAATAACATATGTTGCCCATACATTTTAGGCATACCTAAGAGCATGACATCCATACCATCGCATATATGCATATCATTGCAGGTTTTACCCAGAGCCAATTTCAACTTCACAACGAAAGATATTGGACTCCAGACAACGCAAGTTCAACTTCACGACGAAGGGACCGCTGCTTGTCAACAAACATTTCTCAATTTCAGAGCCAATTTCAACTTCACAACGAAGGATATTGGACTCCAGACAACGCAAGTTCAACTTCACGACGAAGGGACCGCTGCTTGTCAACAAACATTTCTCAATTTCAGAGCCAATTTCAACTTCACAAAGAAGGATATTGGACTCCAGACAACGCAAGTTCAACTTCACGACGAAGGGACCGCTGCTTGTCAACAAACATTTCTCAATTTCAGAGCCAATTTCAACTTCACAACGAAGGATATTGGACTCCAGACAACGTAAGTTCAACTTCACGACGAAGGGACCGCTGCTTGTCAACAAACATTTCTCAATTTCAGAGCCAATTTCAACTTCACAACGAAGGATATTGGACTCCAGACAACGCAAGTTCAACTTCACGACGAAGGGACCGCTGCTTGTCAACAAACATTTCTCAATTTCTGAGCCAATTTCAACTTCACAACGAAGGATATTGGACTCCAGACAACGCAAGTTCAACTTCACGACGAAGAGACCGCTGGTTGTCAACAAACATTTCTCAATTTCAGAGCCAATTTCAACTTCACAATGAAGGATATTGGACTCGAAACAACACTTGGATTTCAACCTCACGACGGGGGATATCCAATTCTCAGGCTCAACTTCGCGACGAATGAGCCATATACAAATTCCAACTTCACAAAAAGATTGACTCATGACGAAGTACCTTGAGCCCAGAGTCAATTCAAAGACCACTTTGAGCTTGTTTTCAGCTTCAAGACGAAGGATTTCGTGCTCAAAACTTTCCAGCTTTGACTCAACCTCATGACGAGAGAGCCATTGCGACCAATTCCAGCATCGAATTTCAACTCTACAATAGAGGACCTTCGACATAGATGGATAGTGTGTCTTTAAATCTTTGCCCTATCCCCGTTGCACGATTATGGGCAAAGAGGGGCAGCTGTAGACACACTTTAGACGACCAAAATATATTTATATGTATTATATATAATTATATATATTGTAAACAAACATTTTTTTTATTTCTGTGTCAGGCCCAAAATTACATTTGGCCCAGCAGGATTAACATTGATCCAACCCAGACCCAACACGCGCAACCCTAGCAGTTTCCCCCATCCAGCGCCGCATGCTTCGCTCAAGGACTCCTCCACACCGAAGGCCTCTTATCCTTCACGTCTCCATGCTTCTCGGCAACAAACCAACAACGTGCATGTGGAAAACAACAAAGCATTAGAGTTCCATTAGGACTTGAACATGTAGTCTAAAATTAGGTTTTTATTTTAGTATAAATAGGCTTGTAATTAACACAACAAGGGGGATTTTTTTTGACACTGGATTCACATACAAAATCGCTGTGTAACATCCACCCACACACAATAGCCAAGAAGGTCCAAGCCCTTGTAAAGACTTTCGAAAAATTAATAAAAAAGAGGTAGTTTTTTTCTTTTACCTTGTTTGTTCGGTTTCTCACTTTGCATGTTGTATCTCCTGTGTTGTTTGGTGCGAACTGAACCCATAAGTTGCATTTTGGCCGACGAGCGAAGTGAGGCATTTTTTCCTCGAAAATCTATTTCCTAGATCTGTGTTTTTTTTAGTTTGATTTCTGAAAAACCGGTTGGATTTTGAACTATGAGAGAAGGATGCTCTTTAAAAATTTTGGGTTTCGTGGTGGATCATCGCTGATGAGCGGCGGCGAGGCGGTGGTCACCATTCTCAGGCGGCGACGCATGGCCCTTGTTCTTCATGTCTGAAGAACAAGGCAGAGGAAGAAGGAAATGGGAGAGAGCCTTTGGTTTCAAATGAGGCTAGAACGAATTTTAAAATGTTTTGTTGGCTTAAATATTGAACCCATCAGGAGATCCGCGTGCAACCCGACCCATCATGAGGGGATCCGCGTGTTTCTGTTGTTTTTAAGGGTAAATCGCGTTTTTGACCCTCCTGTTTTGAAAGTTTCAATTTTAACCCCCAAATCCAGTTTTTAAACTCGATTTTTTTTTAAATTCGACCTTCAATCGTGGTTTTCTTTCGATTTAGTCCTGTTACTATTATTTTGCCTTTTTGTTAATTTTAATATAGCCATTTTTTATTATTATTACTGTATATATACATGTATTTTTTTTTCTACCTTATTTCATTACTTTTTATTTTTGTTTACAAATTATCATATGTATTTATATATATAAACGTTTCATCCCTTAGTTTTATTAGTTTTTTATAAATATTTTAATTATATATATGTACATACATTTTCTAGTGTTTTCTTTAACGTTATATGTGTACGTATCCTATCATTTTTATGTTGTTTTGCATTAAAAACTATTGTATTATTATAGATATATGTACTATATTTTCTTTTACATTATTTCTATTTTCTTTATTTCTTTTTTAATTCATTCTGGTATTCATCTACTTGTTTACTATACGTACATCATCATTATTATTTTCTTTATGTTGTTCATTTCCTTCATGTTTGTCATTGTTTTATTTTGTTTCCATCTATTCCATTGTAGGTATTCCATTTTCTTATTTTATCCTTACCTTATCTCATGTTTTATTTCCTTTATTTCGTTTTTCATTATTTTCAATACCTTTTTAACATGATTCTTGACTTTTTAAGGATATTTTCAAATCAATCTAAGGTAAATAATTTTGGATTATACGTTACCTTTTAATTTAACTTTCAATTTTCTTAATTAAAGACAACTGGAAATTACACAGTACCGAAAGGGCAGTTCAAGGGTGCTAGCCCTTCCTTGACTGTAACCGATTCCCGAATCCGACACATCTCTGGTAAGACACAGATCAGGTAAGAAATAGGGTATCCGATCAACCCATTTATTTTTAAATAAATGATCGGTGGCGACTCCAATTCATTTAATCCAAGTCGAAGCCAAGACGGTTCCGACACTTATCAAATAAACATAAACCAACATTATATGAACTGTTGGCCAAAGATTTTGTTCATTTACACCCCTCCGAGAGACTGAAATCACGTGATCTGCTTAGATTAATTCGAAAAACACTGAGAATTCGTTTACTTTCAAAAACACTCAAAATATCAAAATGGAGTTTTGAGATGGAATTAGTATTAACGATGGCCACGTGTACAACCCTAATTTTCTTTTGTGTTGTTCCTTTCCTGGCTCAGCTTTTTTTAATTGTTTTTTCACATCCTCCTTCTTCGTCCACCGTGGCATTCACGTTCAGAGGTTTCTCATTTTTCCTAAAAAGAGTAAAAAAAATGCAATACATGATTCACTATAGTAAAAGAAAATATATATACATATAGATAGCATGATGGTAAAGGTGTGGGGTGCTGCATTTGTCTCTTGCCTGCTTTAAGCATTCAATGCGTTTTGGCAAGACTGAGGTGGTGAAGAATGGAGATATTTTTTATCTTTCCCGTGAAAAACTCTATCCCTTCTCTTCTCGCATTATATATAGATGCACCATACTCCAAATGTTACTTAAACATACCTATTATTTTGCCACAAAAACCCTAATTCCCTAATTAGAGAGATATACATTGCGTGTGTGTATCTGAGATATACATAATTCCTTTTACAGTACCTGACTGAATCATGGATCATTATCTGTCTTGTTTCTATTCTTATTACCACTATTTATTAAGCAACAACTACCCGAAAAAATGTCATATGTCTTCGTAATCGCTAAGCTATTTTCTCTGGGGGAAACCAGCAAGACTAAAAAATAAAAAGTTAAGTCTTAGTTTGATACTAATCACCATTAATTATGAATGCTTAATCTCCCGTTTTGATAGTTCGTCAAGTTACGTGTTTTGTGAACAAAATATATATATATATATATTTATATCTTTAATGTTCGTTTTATAATGAATATTTAGAGTTCATGATTAGTTCTGTTACTTAAATGACTTGAAGATAAATTCTCTCATTATTAATTTGATTAGTTGATAATTTATTAAAATTAAATCTTACTCGTAAAGAGCATAGTTGATTTCCATGATTGATTGATTAATTTGTGTGGCTGCAAAATGAAGTCTATCTTGAACTTTTTGGAATTATTTCAAGTGGGGGTAAAATCTGCAGATAGGGTTTCTTTTCATTTCTTGAATAGGGTGGAGCAGCACAGTAGCATAGTATTCATGATCAAGACTTCACATTTTGCTTTGTACCCTATTTAACTTTGCGTATTTGGGTGTCATTCGTATATATGAAGTCACCTGAACCTCTTATTCGCCCTTTCTGATCATCCTTTATAAGGGAATTTCCACTCGGTGGTGTAGGCCCTCTTGTGCCTTTTCCTCTCAATCATTCATCCCTTCCCTAATCTCAATAAACATACATTTCTCCACCTTTACTGGACGACGACGGACGCCAACCGCATCACTTGGTTGCTCCATCTTCCTTAGCTGATATTTCCCCATGTCTTCTAGTAATTGTTATTCATCTCTTTATCCTTTTCCTATTGACCTCAACGAAGAGGTATATAATGATCAGCAGCAGTTCCATGATCTAGAAGAGGTACATAATCATCACTACTTTCACTTTTCATGTTATCCATCTTTGATAAACTTATGGTTTAACCCTTTTTTTTCTTTGAGTTCCTTTAGCGGTTTTAGGGTAAGTAATTAATGATCACTTGCATTTTTGTAGCTTCAGGAAAAAATATTTGTTCCGCGAGATGGACCATTGAAGACTGATTGTGAGCTCAAGTTATCAATATGGAAAGAAGAAGAAGAAAGGGTTGAAACTCATCAAAGTCATGAGAATAATAGTTCTGCGAACTGGATGCCTTCGAAGATGAGGATCCTAAGGAAGATGATGAACTCGGATCATGTCAATCTATCGAATAATTGTGAGCTGAAATCCAAAGATCAACACAAGCAGCAGCAGCCATCATCATCTACGGATCACAGCGGCAACTCTTATAATAACAACAACAGCACAATTAGGGTTTGTGCTGATTGCAACACAACTAAGACTCCTCTTTGGAGGAGTGGACCTCGAGGCCCCAAGGTACTAAATTTTCAGTCTCTTTTTTTATTACTATAAAAGCGCTTGCCCTAAAATCGATCTTAAAGAGTATAAAGTCAAGTATTATATCAGTTGTTTAAGATAATTTATTAACCTTATTTGAATTTGGCCTTTCTGCTACAGTCCCTTTGCAACGCCTGTGGAATTAGACAAAGAAAAGCGAGAAGAGCTATGGCTGCTGCTGCTACGGCAGCGGCAACTGGCAGCACTGCTGTTGAGAGAACGAAGAGTAAGGTTCAACATAAGACAAAGAGGTCAAACGACGATTGTGTTCCACATTTCAAGAATAAAAAGTGCAAACTTAATCCTCAATCCCAAAGCAGAAAGAAACTGTGTTTCGAGGATTTAAGGATAATCTTGAGCAAGAATTCAGCTTTTCATCGAGTTTTTCCTCAGGCTGAGAAAGAAGCCGCGATCCTGCTGATGGCCTTATCGTATGGACTTGTTCATGGTTGAAAATTCACCCCACCAGCTGGTCTTATTTATATTGTTGTTTTCTTAGGTTTTAGTAACGATGGAGTGTACTGTGTACTAGATAGCTAGATCATAGATGTCTCAATTGTAAGAGTGAGTGAGAAAATTAAGGTGTAGTGAATGAGCGTGAGGAAAACATTATTAGAGCTTGATCAGGTGGATTTGAACAAGCTGATAACCAAAATCAGGGAGCTCTTGTTCATCTACTCTTATTATTATTATATGAATTTAATAAAATTTAATGTTCTTTTCCTGTCTCTTTTCAGTTGTTTAATTTCTTTCTTTGTTTTGCGTTCATTTGTTTTAGATGTCTTAATACATGAAACTGGGTTTTGGTTGGGTTGGAATCTAAAATGGTATGATGGTGATGAATCTAAGGGTAGTTAGGGTTACAGCTTTACTTATTTAATCCTGAAAGTTGCCTAGGAGAATGTAATTTTGTCTTGGACATTGTCTTTTTATTCATGTCCGATTATAAATAGTAGCTTTGCATAAATGCTTGCAACACTAGTACGACAACTATAACAGAAACAAGTGGATTTTAACGCAAAACTGGGGATGAGTTGATTATTCATCCATTACGAGATCCAACATATTTTAATTTGTACTACCATCTTGGCTAGTACTACACTACAAGCTGCCTAAGTTGTTCCATTGTCGACTATTACAAACTTAAAAAATAAAAAAATTATTGGATAGTCCCCATTAAATTGAACACAATTTTGTAAAAGATAATATTGATAATTTAAAATTCTATTGATTATTTAACTAACAATATTTTATAAACTTCTTTTAAATAAATTACAAAAACTCTCATCAAAACTCTTAAAATCTTTATATGATGGTACAAGGGAGCGGTATCTCTTCTCTTGTTATATTTTGACGACAGTGAATAGGAGGGGTGACTTGATATTACTTTTCTTGACGGGAGCCGTTAGTTTTATCAAAAAAAATATATAGAATTATAATAAATTATTGTTATTCTTTGAGGTCCTGGGTTTGAGCACTAGGAATGCCAGGGTACGAGCGTTCAAAAGGTTGAGAGTTATTTTCGAACAGATACTATCTTATACTTACCATAGATTAATAAAAAAAGAATTATAATGAAGATTTATAAGTATAACCGTAAATTAAACATATAATTATGAGATTTTCTTATAAGCTTTGAATAAGAAACTAGTTACTTAAGATCACACAAGGATTATACAAGGAAAAAGTAAAAGAACCTAACCAAAAAGTTCAACAAAAGATAGATACGAATATACTTAACCCCATCGGCAAATGAATCACAAAAAAGATGAGGCCACTTAAAGACCAATTGCAAATCAGAGTCGAGTGACATGAGAAAACTATCCATGAACACAAATGACGTATCCAAGTTCAATCCGAGAGTCTAAAGCAGGAAAGAATAACATGATAATAAATAAATGTCATATTGATCAATCATGACGATGTTAAATCCATCCCTGAAAAAAAGATAAACAAAAACAACGACCAAATGATTGAAAACCATGTCAAAAGATAGAGAAAAATGCACTATAAAAACAGAGGAAAACACATCATAAAGTCAAAATTATTAAAAATTTAAAAAAAAGTAAAAAAGTAAAGATACAATTTTAAAAAATAAATAGAAATAAAAAAATATTGATAACGTGGAAATTTGTATCATCGCCTACAAACAAGAAGGGGCAAGCAGCTAAAGATGTTTTGGGGGTTGAGATGAAAAGTGTTTTGTTTACGTACAATACTCGACATTATTTAAAATGTTATTGAATGATTTTCAATATTGAATTTATTATTCGCGGCATGTTTACACAGTAAATTTATTTATTCATCGTATATACTTTAAGCATTTATATGGATAAAGTATCAAATATAAATATGATGATAGAATTTATATATTTTTTTATATTCAAAAAAGAAATTATATATTATCTTTAATTTTAAAAAGATTCATTTAAAATTTACTAGTTATCTAATGAAATTTTAAATTTTTAGATTCAATGTATCAAATAATAATATTTTTATATATATGTAAGACAAAAAGAAACGACATTGATGTATATATTTTTCTATTAGTTTAGGGTATTACAAGGGATGATACTTGTTCGAGATATTTTTAATTATTAAATAATAAATATTTTTATATCTTTTTAAATATATTTAAACTCGATACCTTAAAAAAGATAAATATTATTGTAATCACCGAAATAAGTTAATTTGCATGGCATCAATGGCTATATATATATATATTTATTTGAAAAGAAGCATGAATGGATATAATTTTTTTTTGTTTTGTTGAAGAAACATTAATGGATATATGAATGTAAATGAAGGGGCAGAAAAGCTTTGAAGCTGGAAGGGCTGCGGCCTTTTAGATGTTGATATGAAGGCTCACCATTCAACCCGTTAGAACTAACCAATTGAAACTCATCTCCAGTGAATCCCGTATTAAGCTCTACAAGGCCGTTTGGGCCTGTATTAAAGGCTCCTCTTATATTTAAATAACTGTTTGATAATTATTTTAAAGATAAATTTTAAAATTTCTCCTCTCTACTTAAATGTCTTTTTAATATTAAAATTTTAAATATAAATCATTTAACAATTTAGAATAGTATATTATAATCGATAATCTCTTCATCATTCCTACTTAGTTATCTAGTGGGTCATTTCGTGATAACATAAACTCTCTCTACTAATATTTAATATACGCGTATTAACCAAACATTTAAATTTGGATTGAGGATTTTGATTAGTACTTCAACCTTTCAGATTTTCAAATAAATTGTCATTTGAGTATCTTCACTACTAAAACATGAAGCGATCATAACCACGTTTGAAGTTGGTAACTTTGTAGAGTTTAGATATAAGCCTCCTTCAATGTCGTAAAGTGTATATCTGTAATTGATTGTAAAATCAGTGAATGATAAAATGTATTTTTAAAAATATGTGTTTTGAAAGTACTACCAATGTGACATATTTAAAAGATTATCTTCTTAAATAAAATTATTTGAATAAATAAATAGACTATTCTCATAAATTAGGCGTTTATTTAAAAATCAGTGCTTAGCCACAGAAGTGGTGCTAATAATATGAGATACCTTCCATGTGCGTCTCCCACGCTTGGATACGCCACTTGAAGTTGCATTGCATCTTTCAGTTTTCAACCCGGCCTTTCATGGTACCACGATTTGGAATTTGACATGGGAAACGACTGCGTACTGATGGTAAACCGACAATAATTGTACGATTGGACCAATGCCGCACAACTGACGGTAAGGTAATTTATCACCTCCCGATCATTCACCGGTGACTGGAATATTCCTCTAGGAAACTTTGAAGTGGTTTGTAAAAATCTAAAACAGAAATAAAGTCTTTTGTTTTTATCTTCAATCGGACTCCATCGGTGATTGGTCCAACTCACCTCCTCAACAGACTTCTTTCGGCGACTTGCTAACCAACCATCCGTGAAACGCCTCCAAATTCTTGCTTTCTACGCTCCAATCTACCACTTATCACTTTACTATTCGAATCTTATTGATTTCTCTTCTTCTTTATGAGGCTTTGATTCACCGTGGAGAAGGGAGAAAAAAGTGATTATGGAATCCCATTCGTTGAGTCAAACAAAGCCAATACCATTGTCGACCGAAGAAGAAGATCCTTCAACCCAATCCACGACGTTACTGTCTTTCAACACTGATTCTCCTCTGGAATCGGATGCAAAAGGATCTCCTTCAAAGCACAACACCACCATAATCTTCATTGTTTTAATACTCCTCTCTTTCGTTGCTCTTTCGGCTGCCTTTACCTTTGCTTTCCTCTTTTATGTGGGGAAATAAACGAGTACGGGTAATTTTCTTATAATCAGATTAGTGAGAATGCGAAATAAAAGAGGAAAAATAATGCCCGAAATTGATAACGGAGTTCAACCAATTTTGCCTACATCTCCGGACTGTTGCAGATCTTTTACTAAAGAGAGAAAAATTACAGTCACTACTCACAAGAGAACTCTCTAAACTCTTTAGTATTGGGAGAAATAAATGATTTGAGATGATTTTGAAGCTAAATGGGTTAGAGTATTTATAGTTGAAGCTTAGGGACTAATCTTATAAATATCCTAAAGTATGCATTGACTAAAATACAATTACCCTATTTTTATTTTCAATAAAATACTGCACCGAATGTTGAAAACAATTTCTGCAGCCCAAAAATTTGAAATTTAGCCTGCCATTCTAGAATTTTGACTGAATTTTCAACAATCTCCCACTTGAAGACTGATTTTAATATGTCTTCACACATCGATCAATGCAGCAGTTTTTTTGGTATTGTTAGTCTAGCATGCCAACTAAAGCTGAACACAACTTCAGTTTGTCCGTAGTCACCGTCTTTGTTAACATATCTACCGGATTTTAAGCTCCACTAATCTTTTCAAGTTTCAAAATCCCATCTTCCAAAAGAGACAGGATAAAATGATATCGCAACTGTATGTGCTTCGTCTTGAATTGAAAAGACGGATTCTTTGCTAGATGGATAACACTTTGACTATTGCAATACAAGACATTGTTTTCTTGTTTATTGCCTAACTCTTCCAAGAAAATTTGGAGCCAAACCATCTCTTTGATGGCTTCCGTAACAACGACATATTCTGCTTCAGTTGTGGAGAGAGCAACTATCTTCTGTAATTAAGAAACCCAACTCACTGCAGTTCCTCCTAGAGTATAGACATATCCTGTAGTGCTTCTTCTGATGTCAACATTTCCGGCTAAGTCAGCATTTACATAGCCTGTCAGTATCGTATCTCCACCTTTGAAACAAAGTGCTTTGTTTGTGGTACCCCACAGATATCTGAAGATCTATTTGACTGCTTCCCAGTGTACCTTGCCCAAATTATTCATGTACCTGCTAACCACTGCATGAGCAATATCTGGTCTAGTACAAACCATGGCATACATCAGACTTCCAATTGCTGATGTAACACCTCAACCCGTACCCGACCCGGATAAGAGCCCGAGATGTCACATTGACTTTTTAAAACGATGTTCTTCCAAATTAACCAAATATTTGAACTCATTTTAAGAAAATATGATGATATATTATTGAATTATGCTTCATTATAAAAATTTAAGGCAAAAACGTATTTATAAACAGTAAAATATGGTATGAACAATAATGAACAGTGCCGTGA